AGGGATCCGTGGCCAGAAACGAGAAGGCAGCGTGCTCAATCTGGACATGCCTGGGTGTCTCTGACCCGAAATACAGCTAGAGTTGGACGCATCTGACCGCAATTACGTCCAGAGGGAAGACGAAAAAGTTCTAGAGCTAGAGTTGGACGCATCCATGACCGCAATTATTACGTCCAGAGGGAAGACGGAAAAGTTCTAGAGCTAGAGTTGGACGCATCTGACGGCAATTACGGCCAGAGCAGAGCGCAGACGAAAAAGTCCTAGAGCCAAAGTTGGATGCATCTGACCGCAATTACGGCCAGAGCGCAGACAAAAGAAGTCCTTATCTATGGAATTTCTGGTCGCCATTTAGATACTAAGACACAAACGTAAATTCGAACCCAGTTTTTCGACTGCATAAATTGAAATTTGAATTGAGTTTTTCTACTGCACAAATTGAATTTCTGGGTGATTTTCTTAGACTATTTGTATGTGGAGAGAGAGAGAGAGAGAGAGAGAGAGAGAGAGAGAGAGAGAGAGAGAGAGAGTGTTCAGTGGACGTTGTTTTGAGACCCCATAAAATGATCACGAGAGTAAATTTCAATTCCATGCAATTAGAAGAATATTCGAAAATTTTAACTAAGTAGATTGCTGTTCCCCGTCAGGCTGTAAGTGGGAGCTTGTCCCGAAAGTCGGCGGGAGTCTACTCCTGCAAGGATTTTCTCTCCCGCAGGAATGAATGCTCATCAAGAACCCGTCCAAGTGAGGGGACCTGCAGGAGCTTGCAGCAGTGCAGCAACACCACAGGCAGAAGATCTCTCTCTCTCTCTCTCTCTCTCTCTCTCTCTCTCTCTCTCTCTCTCTGTGTGTGTGTGTGTGTCTCTGTTTTCTCAGTGGTCACAGCGAATGCATGTTGCGAAAATAATGGTCCCGTTACATTCGAAATTCACAGTCAGACTGCGAATTCCGAATGTACCTGGATTCGGGACCATTACCTGAGCCACATGCATTCGAGCGACTACCGTAAAAAGCCACTCTGAGAGAGAGAGAGAGAGAGAGAGAGACAGAGGGCTGCAGCGGGAGCATGCGGGAGCATGCCGGAACGAGCTGCAGTGGGGCAGCAGGTTGCGGCAAGGGTGGGCTCCCTCTCTCTCTCTCGCGCGCGCGCAAGAGAGAGAGAGAGAGAGAGAGAGAGAGAGAGAGAGAGAGAGAGATGGCCGGAAGAACTCACCGACTTCCCGCCCTTTGTTCGTTTTGGGTGGAAGATCGGACCCAGGCTCTACCAGACTTTAGGACGAGAAAAGTCTCAATTGCCACATCACTTATGGCCGGGACTGTTCCGGCGCGGTTCCCACAGCACTTGTGCCCGGGGCCTTCGTCCCACTTGCACGAATCGAGAGATACTGACCGTAGATATAAAAAAGATCAACGGCCCAAATCATACTGACCGTAGATATAAGAAAGATCAACGGCCCAAATCTCCTAATTTGCGCAAGTGGGACCTTGCACCCGGGATGGTACCGCTCTACGTTGCCCGACTGAAGTACCCGTTTCGGAAAAACTGCCCGTTTGTCCGAAACGGCGGCCCGGCCCGAGTTTCAACTTTCAACTGAATGTAGAAACTCGGGTCGCGACTGAAGTGAGAATTTGAAAGTGCTGTTTCGAATGCATTTTCAAACTTGCTTTGTGACCGCCGCGTACATACCGGTTATTTTTTCCCTGGAAAAAAAAAGAACTCTTTGTTACCCATGAAAATAGAGGACTCCAAAAAAAAAAAAAAAAAAAAAAAAAAACAAAAAAAAAGGACTCGGAGGAGAAATAGACTCGTTTCCGATTAATTTCATATTTTTTCCCAACGTAGGCACAAAATGGGCATGGATGGAATTGTCACATCACATCGGCAGGGGGCACGCCCGTGATCGAAAAACGCTTATAAAAAAAAAAAAAAAAAAAAAAAAAAAAAAAAAACAGTCTGGTTCTCCTCGTAGGCTACTACCGTCTTGGGTTCTTCGAGGTGAATGCAGACGGATTACTATGAATGTATACAAGCTACCTTTCTGGTCCCATGCAGTCAGCATGAGATGATGAGAGTGCTTTGTGTTCGTGGGGGGGCCCTAGTGGGATAAGGCTCGGTAATGTCTGATGATGTGTAGCGAGAGTAGTCCCCTTTAACCCCCTTAATATTTAAATGGCCCTTATTTAATTAAAGCGTGCTTAAATAAATGGCCCCTTATTTTGACTGCTTCCAGTCGAATGTTACGGAATGTATACAAGCTTGTATATTATGACTGTATACAGCTTCCTTTCCGGTCCGATTCAGTCAAAATGAGAGTACTTACTCGTCGTAATCATCAGTAGCGAGAGGAAAAGTAGAAATGTACAAGACGACGACTAAGAAGAGGACCGTACGGCGTACGGCGTATGCCTGAACAAGACGATGGAGAAGAAGCAGCGTATGCCTGAACAAGACGATGGAGAAGAAGCAGAACAAGGTATATTAAAAAAAAAAAAAAAAAAAAAGGTATATTAGTTAAATAAGGACACGAAAAAAAAAAAAATGAAAAAAAAATGGCGGACTCGGCATGTTTTGAGTTCCTAAAGGCACGAAAAACAGGCCTTCGGCGACTGTGTCAGGGCCTGAGTTTCAAGGCGGCCTGAGTTCGAAAAGGCGTTCCTAACTCAGGCCGGCGGTGGTGTCAGGGTGGAGGTTTCATTAAGACGGTTGTGTTTTTTTTTTTTTGTTTTTTTTTTCTCCTTCGGTCGGTCGCGCCGCGCTGCGGCGACAAGGATTTTTTTTTTTTATTATTATTTTTTCCGTTGGTCGCGCCGTGCCATGCCACGGCTGGGGCCTCGACCCACTAGCCAAGCGTAAAATGGTGTGTGGCATGCGAAATGTGTTTAAAAAATAGGAAATAAAGGTTTTCCTGCATTTTATTTTCCCCCGTGGATAAGGAGCCTGCAATAATGACTGACATCCATCATTATTACACCGTATCCGTTTCATTCCAATACATGTGACCCCGTTAAACTAAGCCAAGCATGGATTCACCCCGACACTGCGCCCTTGTGATGATAGGGAAAGTACGGACGTGGGTTGGCCAAGAGGTACTCATGTCTGTTTTAGCACCTAGACACTTTTGTAGGCAACGTACAACCATGTTTTCGGAATGTAGACGCGTATTAGGTTTGTGCATCCTATTCAAAGGAATGCACTGACACCACATTTATCGCCCTTATTTGTGGGCACTGCACAAAAAGACGCCGTTATTACTTCGATTCGTCATTTTTTTCAGACTTTCCAAGCCAAAATCGGTTGGCGCGAAGCTTGGATATCACCCCATGGGTCAAAAAATGTTGTTATTGAAGCTTAGCGCCAACGGAAAGTGGCCAACAAAAACACCAAAAAACAAACAAACAAACTTCCTACTGGCTGTCAGCCGGGAAACATCATCACAGTTGATGTGGAGGGCAATCGGCGGCTGTTTTGCGTCACCCCGGGCCACACGGTGATAGAAAGTCCAGCCTCCAAGCGTAACGCTTGGCTAGTCAGTAGAGGCCCCTGGGAAARAAAAAAAAAAAAAAAAAAAAAAAAAAAAAGGTGTATCATCCCCATGGTCGGGCCACGGCCGAGATGTCTCGGCCACACCCCAGATTGGCCACGGCTGAAATGTCTCGGCCACACCCCACAGCCGAGATGTCTCGGCCACACCCCACAGCCGAGATGTCTCGGCCACACCCCAGATTGGCCACGGCCGAGATGTCTCGGCCACACCCCAGATTGGCCACGACAGAGATGTCTTGGCCACACCCCAGATTGGCCATGGCCCAGATGTATAGGCCAAACCCCGGCCGTGGCCTGACCATGTTTTTTTTTCCCCCCCTTCCAGCCATGGCACAACACGGCGCGGCGTGACCAACGGGAAAAAAAAAAAAAGAAACTTTTTTTCTCCTTGCTGGCGGGGCGCGGCGCAACCGACCAAAAAAAAAAAAAAAAAACACAACCGCCTGAATGAAACCTCCACCCTGACACCCCCGACCTGAGTTAGGAATGCCTTTTCGAACTCAGGCCCTGACACAGACTCCGATGCCTGTTTTTTCTGCCCATTATAAACTCCCATGTGACATAAACGTACTTCCCCGCTAAAAAAAAGAAAAAACAGTACAAAAATAAGGCTGCAGCAATTCAGCGAATTGCCATGGACTCGCTGCTTGAGTGCCGTCAGCAGTTCAAACTGCAAAAATTGAACCTGCAAAGGCATCTACAGAATTAAATGTTCTCCCCAATGTCCCCATCCCCTTCTCCCCCCCCCCCCCCCCCCCCCCCCCCCCCACCACCACCAAAAAAAAAACGAAGTTACAGGAATAGCCTTCACTGAATGCGCCTTTGAATTGAATTGAATTGAAAAGAGGAGAGAGAATTCCTTCCCAGTTCTTGCTGATCGATTTCGATGGGAGGCAAGAACTCGAAAAAGAAAAAAGACTTCTGGGCTGCTTAGTGTGGAAGTCGAAACATGCTGGCAGGAATTGCTGGGCTGGTTAGTGTGGCCACTAGTATGACTGGTGTACCCTTCATTGGTGTTTCAATCTGCACCTGTTCATGCAATATATGCCTGTGGCAGCCTCTGTGTTTGTGTTTGTGTTTGTGTTTCTGTGTTTGTGTTTGTGTTTGTGTGTGTGTGTGTGTGTGTGTGTGTGTGCGTCCTTCAAAAATCTTCATCACAGTTTCAATCTGCAACTACGATGCAATAGACAAACTATGAGTTGGTAACGTGCCCCTCGTTGTGCATGTATGCATGTGTCAGCTTGTGTGTGTGTGTGTGTGTGTGTGTGTGTGTGCGCGCGCGTTATTGGGATCTTCCTTGAGGAGAGCAGGACCGCTATCGGGACCACCAAGAGTTGGCCTTCGTCCACACGGGGAGGAGGAGGAGGAGGAGGAGGAGGAGGAGCAAAGAAGATAGCTGAGAGGAAAGACCAGACCGAGTGCCGTTACCAATCGGAGTCCTTGGCATCGCTGTGATTACATCCTCTCTCCTCCTCCTCCTCCTCCTCCTCCTCCTCCTCCTCCTCGTACTACTCCTCCGTATTCCCATCTTAAAGTTGTTCCCTCAGACGTTACGTGGTTCTCAGTATTCCTCTATGGGAGAAAATCACCGTGTTCATCAGGACGGAGGGGATCTTCCTTCTTCTCCTCCTCCTCCTCCTACTCCTCCTACTACTACTCGTTCTCCTCCTTCCCCTTCTTTGTCTTCGTCTAGGTCTCGTCGCCAGTTATCCTCTTCAAGATCACCGACTTCCCCGCCATCGCCTCCCTCTCCTCCTGTCTCTCCCTCATCAGGTAGGACCCTGCGCGTTGCGGCTCTTCAGTTGTCGTCAACACATGAAGACGTGGTGCAGAACCTCCACCATGCCCTCCGCTTCATGCGCGAGGCTGCAGCGCAAGGGGCCAAGCTGATACTGATGCCTGAGTTGTACCCTACGCAGGGGCTGGGTGGCGCTAAGGTGTGGGAGGCGGGGGAATTTCTCCACAGCGGCCCAACGAGAGAGATCGTCTCTGACACCGCCAAGTCGCTGGAGGCCTACATTGGAACGTCCTTCGCTGAGATTCGAGGTGACCATTTCTATAACACGTTCGTCCTCACCGACCCGTCGGGGGAAATCGCCGGCGTGGTAAGATGAACATCTCTCATCACCCCACTCACACTTTCTATCCCCTCCATCCATCCATCCATCCATCCATCCATGATGCAAGCCGAACTGCTACCCTAACTCCATCACAATTATCATATCCCCCTTCTTGTTTGCATTGATCTCCTCTATCTATCCTTCCGTCTGTCTCCACATTCTCCACATTCTCCACAAGTAGTCGGAGAAGAAGAATTTCTCTCTCTCTCTCTCTCTCTCTCTCTCTCTCTCTCTCTCTCTCTCTCTCTCTCTCTCTCTCTCTCTCTCTCTCTCTCTCTCTCTCT